ATTTAATGCAAAACGAAAAATCATTTTTTGTATAGCCTTAATAATTTAAGTACTGTTGAATTTTTAAAACTTTGAGCAAAGTTTTTCTGATCGAATTCGATAAAATTTTTTATTGGCTGATTTCCGACCATTTATCATGAGATTTTTTCAAATCCGATAACCTCCCAAAACCGATACAGAACCGTCCACCATGCATACCGGTTTTGAGAGAGCCAACAGTATATTTAAAAAATATATAAATATATATTTAAAAAATATCCAAAGTGTCCAAATTTACTGCCCACAACTGTCCCGTGGCAACACTGGACATGAAGGCATGCCTCGACCTAAGGGCATGCCCAATTTTTTACCCGTGTTCTGAACTCTACTGACGATATTTTAAATAAACCCTAATAAATAAATAATAACTTTTGGGCATTAATAAATGATTATACATTATAAAATGTGCAAAAGTAAATACTACCCAAAACTTTCAAATAACTTATGAAATATAGGTCCTGTAACTTTTGCTTACAACAGATATCAATTTTCATATCTTGTTTTAATCTTGCAACCATTTGAAGACAAAAAAATAACAAATATATTTTCTGTTCTGTTCACTAATGGTGCAATTTCTATTCAAATCATAACAAAAAAGTATCAAAACATACCTCTTAATATATAAAATTTTTAAAACCCTGCCACGAATATCTATCTGATTTACAAAATTTGAAAGATTCACCCTATTGTATAATGCACATGTAAACAATGTTGATATTAAGCTCCTTCTTAATTGGCAAACCTAAAAATGATCAAGTTCATTTATGGGCAAACATCATCACATTAACTAAAAAAGATACTATATATTTGTTTACTTGTCCTGTTCAATACATGCTAAAGAAAATCCAAACTTGTATAATTTTTCTTCAATTCACATATTGTAATACAATGACCAAAACCAAAGAGGATGAAAGACGGATCGTTAATTCTTCCCAAGACTCAGAAGACTTTGATTCGCCAAAATTCGTATACACTCTAAAAATTAACTCTCAATTACCTCCCTCAGGTTTTTTGCATTCAGTGGTCATGATTATTTTGGTTGCGGTCATGATCTAAATTATTTTAATTGAAACCAAATGGTTGCAATTATTTTTTAATGAAAGTACCACTATTATTAGTGTTATCATCGGCCCTGGTAATGCATCTGATTGGACCAATTATTGACAATACTAATAATTAATATACTTGCTTCGAATTTTCATATCCGAGTGCACCGGAATGGAACATTGAGCACAAACCGCGTAAAAATGTATCCAAATTCGAGGATAGAACCCTAATAACTGACAACGAAAATTCCTAAAAAATTATAATAAATAAATGGTGCTACAGTGCGGACAGCATAAACCAACACCTTTTTTTAGTAAAATGCGCCAAATTTAAAATTACATAATCAATTTATCAATTTTGATTGGGTAATATAATTTAATCAATTGTGATTGGCCAAAAATAACATATGAGTTTCTTTTTTTTATACATTAAACGCCAAATTTTCAATTTCTTAGTTAACTTCTTAAAATTAAAATAAAGTAAACCTCTTTTCTAGCCAATTTGTAGCTTAGCCTTAAAGCTACAAATTGGCTAAAAATTTTTTTTTAAAAAAATTTTTGTTTTTAAATTATATCAATTTATATAAAATACATATAAAAGATGCTGGTTTATGGTGTCCTGCACTGTATAATATCGAAATAATATTCCATATTTCTTTATTAAAAAGAAACAAATAAATATAAATCAAATAAATAAATAAATAAGTAATATATATAAACTATTTAAAAATCCGACCCGTTGAATAAACAAAGTCCGAAATCATAAAAAATTTGTTAAGCGAATTACATATCGCCCGGAAATCAAGTTAAATATAACTAAGAAAATATATATATATATATAAAGCCAGCAATGCCATAATATATTTACATCGTTTTAAGACAACCATATATTAACTTTTAAATTATTCGACCGTTACCTAAAGGAGTTATTTTAAATTTGTTAATCGTGTTAATCGTAAGATAAATTGCCAATTGATGTTTAAATGTTTAACGGGAACGTTCAGCGTATACTTACAGATTTAGCCAAATTCCGAGGGAAATCGACATCAATTCCACGCAATACAGCCAAATGATATGACAGTAATTGCAAAGGAATTATTGTAAGAATACCTTGTAGACAATCTACAGTTTGAGGTATACGAATTTTCACATATTGAACTTCTATACCGTCATCGCCCTCATTGCAGATAATAATTGGTTTACCCTTACGAGCTGTGACTTGTTGAAGAGCGCTTTGCACTTTCTATTAATTAAACGCAAAAATATAAATAACGTGCCTTTAAATAACGCAAGTTAAAAAAAAAAGCCTTACCGGATATAAAGAATCCTTAGTCATAATAAGAATAACAGGCATATCTGAATCGATAAGAGCCAAAGGTCCATGTTTCAATTCACCAGCCAAAATACCTTCAGAATGCATATATGAAACTTCCTTTATCTTTAAAGCCCCTTCTAAACAAGTAGCATTTTGGAAACCACGACCCATAATCAAGAGACTTTTTTCTTTATTAAGATCATTTCTAGCAAGTTCTTGTAGTTCTTTATCCATCTTGAGAACTTGTTTGATATATTCTGGTAGCTTCTTAAGTTCATCAATAATCTCATTTCGTCTCTGTGTCATGGATGTACGATCTTCGCTCAATTGAATAGCCATCATCACTAAAGCAATAAATTGAGAAGTATACGCCTAGTTAAAATCAAATTATATATTGAAATTAGTAATATTATCATAAAATTGATTATAAAGTTAAATGTCTGTACCTTAGTAGATGCAACACCAATTTCAGGACCAGCATTAATGTGGACACCGCAATGTGTTTCACGTGAAATTGTTGAACCAACAGTATTTGTTATACCGAGGCAAAGAGCACCCCGTTCTAGACAATACCGTAAAGCAAGAATGGTATCTGCTGTCTCTCCAGACTGTGATACAAATACACAAACATCATCTCTGAAGATAGGAGTCTTTCTATCCAAGAAATCACTAGCTAACTCAACAGAAACAGGAATCTCCGTTAATTCTTCGAAAATAGCCCGGGTCTAATAAAAACGGTGATTGTTTTATTAAAATATTGTTTTTTTTTTTATTAAACATTTTATTAAAATACTGTTAGTTAAATATGCTTACTGCTATACACGAATGGTAACTTGTGCCACACGCACAAAATACTATGCGCCTACATCTTCGAATTGTTGCCAGATATGCTTTGAGACCGCCGAGGGTAACCTTATGACTATCAAAGTTGACACGACCACGCATAGTATTGACCACTGACTCTGGTTGTTCGAAAATTTCCTTCTGCATAAAGTGATCAAAAGAACCTTTCATGATTTTGGCCAGTTCTAACTCCAAGGTTTGGATAGAACGAACAGCTGACCTTCCGTCATTACTTCTTAAACGGTGAATATGTAATTCTATTGAAAAGCACATGTTCAATTTCGATATTTGAATTTATGCAATCAGTAAATATATATATATATATATATTAACAAACAATACCTCCTTCACTAATGTGAGCAATATCGTCATCTTCAAGATAGAGGACACGCTTTGTATGTTCTACAACAGCGGAAGGATCAGACGCAAGGAAATATTCAATAGGTTGAGGAAGTCCATCCTCGCTAAGAAAAGTGCGCGATTGACTATGTCTGAGTTTTGGTACTGCATCATTAGGAGACAATAGGCCTCCTGAATCTGGAATTTTTTCCTCTTTTTTCAAAAATTATAATTGGAATTATTTTCAATCAGATCGTGAAAATGGTTAATTCTATAAATTAATTGTGATTATTTACCTGCACCAAATTCGACATCCACAAAATCTACTTTTAATTTTTTCGCAGTTTTAACACCAACTAAGAGAGGAGAACCGCGTCGTGTGGCTACCATTTCATGTGGATAATGAGTACTCTTAAAGATCAAGGCAAATGCACCTTCCTAAAAAATGAACGCGCTTTTAATGCTTTTTAATTTAAAATAATAACAAATATGACTGCATGAATAAGAATCTTACCAATTTCTTGACAACATCCTTGACAAGCGCGGTGAAACTTAAGTTTTGATGAGGATTTCGAGTATCATACAAATACTTTGCAAACTTAGCAACAACTTCAGTATCGGTATCAGATTCAAAATGATAGCCTTTATGTTCCAGAAGTGTCTTTAATTCTTTATAATTGGTGATAATGCCATTGTGAACCACGGTGAATTCATTCTTTGGATCAGAGCGATGAGGATGAGAATTCGTCGTTGAAGGTTGACCGTGAGTAGCCCAACGAGTATGAGCCATAGAACAGTGGTTAACAAACTCTTTTTCAAAATCAACATTTTGCTCCGACACTAATTTTTTCAAGGCGGCAACCTTTCCAACTTGTTTGAAGAGAATTACTTCAGTTTCACTATCGCCATCCACGGCCAAACCTGCCGAGTCATAACCACGGTATTCTAGACGAGATAATCCACTTATAAGGATATCAATAATCGTTTTCCTATCCTTAACATTAAGATAATTAAGATACGCAAAAATTCCACACATTTTTTACGAAATAGACAAGCTTAATTTTTGAAGTGCGATTTTTTTTTTTTATCGTTATATATTTATTAAAAGCATTGATGAACGTTAAGATGGAATGCCCGATAGCATGTGAACAATTAAAGATCATTCTTATTAAAGAATCGATACGTATCGATATTTTTTTACTAATGTCTTAGCCAAATTTTAACTTATTCAACTAGCGTCATACCGATACGTACACAAATTACATCATACGTAGATTATCTTCGTGCTAATGAGATTTAGTAAATTCTTAAATTCTCAAAACTAGTTATCGAAATGTAGTATTAAATTTAGGCTTCAGCACACCTAGATCATAAACATCACACTTGCTAAAACGGTGAAAATGGTTTTTTTTTGTCATCCCTACGACCCCGAGCTATTCATAGATATGTAGATGGGTAGCAATTTTAGTTCGCGTATTTTTAACTATTTTTGCAGATTTTTCTATCTTTAGTAAGACATATGCTATTTTGCAGATCTTTTCTATTTTTAGTAATATATTAATATTTTTAAAAATCTTAGCTATTTCTAGATTGCTCGGGGTTCTTCCCTACCCATAATTGATACCGATATAATCTGCGTACATGCTAAGTATAAAGATAAAAGCATAAAGAAATCCCAAATTTGGCGTCATCAATTTTGGCTTGGCCAACTTAACACCCGAAATTTACAATTAAATAAAAGTCAATACGCATAACCCACCTTAATTAAAATCAGTCCAAAATTATCTCAATAATTAAATGGCTTCATTAGAGACATAGTTTTTAAATTATATATTACAGAATCCCAAATATGTATAGTCACACTCCCTAAGTGCATCCTTTTGAAACCGGGAATATATATTTCATCGTTGGCCATTTATTCAAATAATCTATGAAACTTAGGTCGTTTGAAGTTATACGAAATTTCGTTTAATGTTCCTAGGGATTTACTTATTTGCTCATTTAGAGGTGTGAGCACAATGCCGTAATTGGTTGTAATTACGTATATGAATTACGGAATTTTTTGCCTATTACGGCATTGCGCTCACACCTCTAATCTCATTTTAACGACAAAATTTGTCGTCACGGCTAAGGTACTAATGTATCAGGAGTCTCTGCGTTTTAGTCTAAATATTTAAAGTAAAATATTCAGGTTCGCCCCTTATTTTGAAATAGCGCTCATGGACGTGCTCGAAATAACGCGCAGGTGAGCGTTGTTTCGCGCTTGTACGGTATACTAAATTTTAAATTTTATTCATAATAGAGATTGGACCCGTTGAGAAAATCTCTACCCGGGTATTATTAAATTACCCGGGTTATCCGGGTAAATTATTATATATTTCGGGTAATCGTATAGTAACAATTTCTACCCGGGTCCAATCCCTAATTCTAAAACATAGTAAGCTTTCTAGAACTATTTCATAAGCCCAAAATGTTCGGTATAAAAAGAGTTGACTGTGCACATAAACTTTCTTAAAGTATATTAATATTAGTAGCAATATAAACACTTGCATACTAGGATTAAGAAAACCAATTTCTTAATGTTTCACATTTTTATTCATTATTATTAACCGAAATTAGTGATCCCGATTGATCAAAACTTTATGATCAAGCCAATAAAATTTTGTTAGTAATTTTTAAGATATTTTGAGGAGCAAGAGGACTACTGTATAATCTATTAAACATTAATGTTTAATTACAAAATAGGATTTATTTTTTTAAACCAAAAATATTAAATAATTATGCTGATATCTACGAGGGTTGATAATAAAGAGAATTATTTATATAGCTTGAATTCAATTTTTATTGATATTAATGAAGTTGATATTAACAAGGATCACCAGTACTCAGTGTTAGCAATATCTTGCGGCTAAAATTTTTTGACCTTCGGCCGGCCAAAATAGGTAACGACTACGCCAGGGCGATCGATTTTACTGTTACATGATTTTCCGACGTCTATCAACCAATCAAAGATCAGGATCAGGTGTAACGTGAAGAAATTCAAAACAAACGTTCGCTTTGCAAAAATCGCATTTATCTCAAAATTTAGTCTAGTAAACTATCTTTGGGGTCCTAATAAAAAATTTTCCTTATGCGATTTTGCTACATTATTGTTCTTCCTAACTTTAACCTAACCTTAACCTATACTCTAACCCAAGTTTTTATCTTAACAACATTTGTTTTCCGACTATCACGTGACAGTAAAATCGACCCTACGCACTGGCGTAGTTATAGGTAACGGCCAATGGCCAGTATCCAAACTTCGGCAAAAGTTTCTTATATAACATTAGCCAATCATATTGCTAGCTTGCCATTTCGGCCAAATAAATTTTTTTGCCCAATTCGGCCAATGGCTGCGGCCATTGACCAGCCAAATGGTCAAGTAACATTTTCGGTACTGAATTTTTACATGATTCGATTGTTGTATGTGATCTGATTGGCCAATCGAAATCATATAAGTGGGATCGGTTACTACACTGTAGATCTTCGTTCTAATTTTATGATTTTAAACGTTACCTAATTATTGTTGCAGATCATAATGAAATCAGATCATTGTAAAATTTAGGGGTCTCAATTTAAAGATATAAGCTCTATCAAAATCCACCTATACTCCTTTTCTAATAATTCTAACCCTAAACCCTAACTTAACTATAAAAAAAAATCTAACTAAAAAGGTCCCAAAAATTTTTAAAAATCATACATAAAATAAGTTAAATTTCATTATGATCTGATTTTATTATTATCTGCCACAATTATTAATATATTGAGAAACTATATATTTTTTTAAAAAAAAAAATTCAAGTCATAATACTATAGATTTTGTAGCAGTAGAATATATTAGTAGTGTAATGGGATTAATTGTTGAAAGCTCTTTAGACGATTTGAAAATATATTAATGTGTTGGAAACATTCATTTAATATTATATACTATATTTATATTAAAAGATATTGAAATATAAACATAAGGGAGTAGCAACTTAGTGAAGTTGGTAAGTTGTTGCACTTTAAACAGCAGAACAAGAGTTCGAATTTCACTAGTGACAAAATTTGAATTTTACAGAATGTGTTATAACAAACTATGTATAATCTGATGGATCTGTAGATTTGTAGATTAGCTTATATTAAGAGGCTATGGAATATTAATATAATGTATAAATTACACAAAACTGAGTAAAGCAGCTAAATAAATCCAAAAGCTGGGGTATATAGAAGCCTACTTGGCAAGTTCTGAGTAGAGAAGTAGTACAGACTTTTAATAATACTATGTAAAGACATCAATCAGAGAACTGGAAAACCAGATAGGGTCAAAATGTTTGACAAAAGTATCATATTAATTAGGTTGCTAAGTAACTAGAGGAAGAAATCACTCTTCTAAACTATCTAAATTGAGAGTTTAGAGAAACTAAAAAAATAGTAGATATTTCTACAAAAGCAAAAGTAGGTGATAGTAGTAGTTTTAGCTTACAAGTACTTGTTCTTAGATTTGGTATAAGTTATCGAAATTTAGATTAGCTAGATTATAAATATAGAAAACTCTAGTAATAATGTTTCAAGAATAAATTATCCTAAAGTTACAGCAAGCATTTAGAACTTCTTGACTAACAAATGTAATAGAGATATCTTAGTGATACAAGAGAGTTGCATTACAAAGAGTTTAAATAGATAACTTTCTAGTTGGATTATAGATATAGCAAATAGTGTAGTCTCTATAATATAATATTGATACGCAGACTACTTAAATAAGCAATTAAAAGTTTCATATATAGTTAGTTATACACTCTAATATAATAGTGGGTTCTATTATAAGCCTCTCTATCTGGTATATTTGAATAAAAACTTCATAACAAAGAGATTAGTTAAAAAATAATAAAAATATATATAAGAATATAATTTTTAAATTTGCTTATAATCAGTGCAGAATCATTTATTAGAATTAATTTGTTATGAAGCTTTGTAAAGTAATTAATATAAACATTAACAGAAACTGCTTCTTGCTAAATAGCAAAGAGTTGTTTTTGTTAAGCAGCTTGTTGAGTAGATATATAAAAATAAGTTTTGAATACAATCGACCTCCCATATAATTACACAGTTAGACAAATAAATTTTTTTCAAAATGTGTTTATATTACAGTATTACAAAGTAACTTTATAATATTATACTAATAGTTTTATAGAATAATACTTTATAATTTATAGTTTAAATTTTAGATATAATTCTTGTTAAATTTATATTATATTAGAAATTATATTGTATTTAGAATAATTAGAATATTAGTGTGTATATCAGTGTATATCATATACCAGTATATGCTATATGCTAGTATATACTGCAATATAGTTGTATACTAATGTATACTACCTGCTACATGGTTATATAATAGTATATATTAGTACAATATATATGGTTATATGCCAGTATATGCTAGTATACTCCACATGGTTGTATGCCACTGTATGCTAACCCAACAGTTATTTAAAAGAAGGCTTTTCCCCTTACCCCAACAGACAAGAAGACAATAGATAGTTAGACAACTAGATAGTTAAAGTAAATAATGAATAGAAACTATTAAATATTCTTTAGAATATTGTTCTCTAAATATTCTTATAATATTCTCTTCATTCTAATGATCTTATAATGTCTTTATTGTCTTTAAAACAAGTAAATAAATCTTTTTGCTTAAACCTTCTCTCTTGCTCTTCTTAAACTCTTCTTTTAAAAGTATCTCTGTAGATGTGGCGACTTAGAGTAGTAGTTAAGTTGTTACCTCCAAGCAGTAGATTAGAGTTCGAATCCCACTGGAAACGTTTTTAGAAAAATAGGCCTGTGTTTCGGTAACAATTATTTGATGATCGGTTGGGTATATTACCTGTAATCTTGGTACTACCATCTCGAAATAGAAGCTCTTGGGCAATCCAAATTCAAGGAACCAGAATAATTGAAAACCGTTTGGCAAGACCCGAGTAAGGAGGTAGTGAAGATCTTTGACGATACAGCGAA